CAAGATTCCCAATTAAAATTAATTCCTAACTAAAATTTTAACTATAAAACCTAATTTATGCTATATTTTCTATAATTTGTTTTTAAAACAAAAAATATATCAACTATATCAATACTTATCAATAATCCTCAAAAAGTCAATCACATGATTAATGGACGCCCCCTATAAGGTAATCACGAGCATCCAACAGTTTTTTGTAGAAGAAAAGATGTAAAAAAATATTCAATATAAATAGAACCGAAAATAGCGTATGAAAGTAAAAATTGCATTCCATTGTATTTACAAATAATATTTTGGTTGTGAAATGATGAAAAGTTCAGGATATAGTGAAACGCAGAGATCATAAAATAATTAATTGAATTTTTTTATTAAAAATTTACTCTGCCCAGAAAATAAAATTATTATTTTCTATATCCCATTTCTACCCTGCTTTTATTTTGCACCAACGTTTGTCACGTATCACTCTTAGCAATGTTGATGGCACTTGTTACAAGACGATGCTCCAACGCTTTTGTATTAAAATTCAGTGCACCTCAGAATGATGAGATCCAACAAATAAGATTTGTTGTCTCTTCCATAGCATTACCAAAAATGACAACAATACAGCAGATTTATTATTTGGGCTACCTTGGCTGACCTTATGTAAAAATATTATAAACCGCAAATGCACCTTCAGTGTCTTGGGAAAAATATGTTATATTATCAGTTTCCAGAGCAGTCTTATATTTATGTCAGATTTTTGAATTAAAAATGTTAAGTTGTTCGGAAAATGTTTTTGATTCTGTCTGTTCTTCATGCAGCTGTTTTTTTTTCAAAAAATTTAGTAGCATGTTAAATATTGTAAATACCAGTTGTGTCTTTATAGTAGATTGTATTCGTCTCTTTTATATTGATAAGTATATGCAGTTTTTGCGATTAATTTAAATAAATTATTATTTTTAAAAACATGCAAAGATATCAAAAACTTTTCACATATTTATTTTTGTAATTCAAGCATGAAATTCCTACTTCAAAAGAGAAGTGACACATTCTCCAGAACACATTTTACAAACTTATTTCAAAGAATATCACATGGATGATAGCAACGTGAGCTTTCAAGAAACAAAGCTTACATAAATGTTTGAAAAGTTACATTATCATATAACAGAAGATTGATATCATTATAGAGAAATCCTTTTGAATGTAGTTTTGGAATTTGGAGTCGTTTACTTGCGTGTTGTGAAGGAGCTTGAAATCTTTTTCCAGATTTAATAGACTCAGAATATAAATATGGAAAGTATGATGTAAATACACTTGTAAGCCAAAATAAAATTTTAGGCATATTGAGCTTTCAGGCTTTGTACACAAGTTGATGTTCTGAATTAACGATTAATTAGCGTTTGTTTCTATCATTTTTTTCTTATGTAGTTTGTGAATAATGTATTTTAGGTATAATATTACTCAAATATCCAATTTATTTTGAAGTATTTTTCCCGATGTTTGAATTATAGCAAACATTAGTTTTTATAAATTATTTACTCTTTTCTTTTGTAACTCTCATAACGTTATTGTCTATTGAGAATGTCAAGAGTAATTTATAACTTATGTTTTTAAACTTCACTAGCACTTTTATTTTTATACTGAATATATTGATAATATATTGTTGTTCATTAGAATATCCTAGATTTCTCTCGATTACAAATTGACAGCATTTTTTATGTTTCAAAGCCAAATCTTGCTGAAACTCACAATGTCTAACGCAACACCGTTTGGTCATTAGTAGACGTGACTAAAATCTCAACCAGGATATTTATAATCTTGGTTTTAACACCTATGACTAATAGATTTTTAAATTCATTGATTTATATTTATGTAATATAAAATTGTTCAAATTTTAATTGAAAATTTTAAACCTTAAAGTTGAAAACCGCCAAAAAGCAAAATAAGGATACATTTTATGGAAATTCTAATTGGAGTTACGTTTTAAAATGGAATGAAACTCTCATAATTGTTAATATTTTATAAAATTGCACCCGATATATGAACAATTAGTTTAACAACCAAGGAATAATATTTAAAAAAAAATGAGAAAGTTTATTCAAAAAGTGCTTTTTGACATATATTATTTTGAGAATTCTCATATATTAATTCCTAATAAAAAAAAAATTGTGAAGCAAATCTATGCACATTTGCATCTTATTGTTAAAATAAATACATCTCTCCATTTTTAATATCTTTGAAATGACAGATAGTTTTCACATACTAACTCTACATCCTGTTGATCACTGGATAAATTTCTTAACCTATTAAAATTTTTCGTAATTCTTCAAGAATCAATTTGCTATTAGCAACCTAAAAATTCAATTTGACTGCAATATAATTAGTATTACTACGAAAGTTTCTATAATACTCTCGTGAATCTCATTCTAAATTTATTGCAATTTCTCTGAATTCGACTATTTTAAAATTCGTCGTACATTCTGCAAATGCATTACGTTTTCTTTTTGTTTTTTTTATGAGCATTAGACTAATTCTATCTTATAAATTATAGATATATCTAAATAAATAGATAAAATAAAAACACTAATTTTGCATATATTTGCTCCTTGGATATAAAGATTGGTTTTGCTTTCATCTGATATATATATCAGATGAAAGCAAAACCAATCTTTATATCCAAGGCGCAAATATATGCAAAATTAGTGTTTTTATTTTGTAGGTACTTACTTCATTTCGTAATTTTTTTAAATTCTAAAATACTGCAATTTATTATTACAAGCCAATGTAATACATATTAATCGAAAATTTAAGTATGTAAAATTTTGCTGCTGGTAAATGTATTTTTGGGTTTTATTTTTAAGAATATATTAAAATATGACACAAGCTAGTGTACTTGAATTATCCCTTGAAGCAATTTAATTTATACATAAGTAAACAACAAATCGAGAGAAAAATATAAAAATTCACGAATAAGTAAACATCACGCAAACGAAATATTGTTAAATTTTCTTTATATAAGGAACTATTTATTACACTTGTTATTCATTGAATCAATGGCAGAGTCTTCTTAAGATTTACTTTGTGAATTACATACCGAATACTGTTTTGCATCTTATTGCAATGATATGTTGTTGATTTTTTCTTTAACCTCGTGATTTCGTCTCGATTTTCGTTGATATTCCACAAACGATCAGCTATCCGTTGCGACAGCGGACGCGCACCTAGTATAAAAGAGTCTGGAGGATAACAAATTGACATCAGTCCATCTTCGTTTGTCCACAGACATCTTCTTTACATACAATGGAATCTTTCAAAGTGAGTTGACAAAGATCATTTTACGATTTTTGAACATTTTATTTAGATTTATATGATGATGAATAGTTTTACAAGTAGTTTTATAATATGGTGTTTTGTTACTTAAATGGAAATACATTTATAAATGAATAAGTGAATGAAAATTACACAAAAATATTTTGTATCTTTCGTTGCATCTGGAAATTTTTGTAACCTTTTGGTATCTTTCTCATTATATTATCATAACACTTATTTTTTAGTTTGTCTTCATCGCATCTCTTGCGATAAGCGTGCACTGTGGTGTAGTTCCCGCAGCGGTTTCTGCGCCTGTCCTATTAAATGCGGCTCAGTATACAGCCTTACCTCAAACTCAGTTTTTCGGAGCTAGAATAGCTGCACCACTCATCGCCCAACCTGTTGCCGCTGCACCACTTGTGGCTTATGCTCCAAACGCTGTCGATCAACCACGAAAACCTACTGAACGTCAAACTGCTAAAACTGAAAGATTCTCCAACAGCGCTGCTGCTGCAGCAGCTGAGGCAGGAGCTAGAAGTGTTCAAAATGACGTTGAAACTATCCAGCCAACTGTAAACAATGCGCAACCAGTTGGTGCACCTGCTGTGCAGTTTGCCGCAGTTCCTGGACCTATTGGAGTTCCTTTGTTCGCCAGATATGCATCATACGTTGCTGGTGTACCTACGGCGAGTTATGTAAATGCTGCTTACAAATCTTTGGCTCAACCCATTCTGCCAGTTTCACGTTTCGTAGCCGCTCCAGTAACTGTAGCCAAACCAGTTTTGGCTGCTCGTTTCGTGGCTTCTGCACCAGTGGTAGCATCTGCCCCACTTGTAGCAGCAACCCCAGTCAAAGCTGCTCGTGTTTTGGCTCCTGCTCCTGTCGTCGCAGCTGCACCAGTTGCAGTCGCTCCTGTCAAAAACAGCTCGTGTCGTGGCTGCAGCACCAGTTGTTGCGTCTGCTCCAGTAGCAGTTGAGTCTGATGACTACGTAGACCCACATCCGCAATACTCTTACGCTTACCAAGTGCAGGATAGCTTGACTGGTGATTCGAAAACCCAAGAGGAGTCTCGTGATGGAGATGTTGTTAAAGGAAGCTATTCACTGGTAGAACCTGATGGTGCTATCCGTACTGTTAACTATTACGCAGATCCTATCAATGGTTTCAATGCTGTTGTAAGCAGAAACGAACCTAAAACCGTGGTTCCTGTGGTAGAGCGTTTGCAGACTGAAGCTATAATTAAAGCATAATTAATTGAAAAATTCATATCATGTCATCAAAATGTACCAAATGTAAATAAATAATCCATCATTAAAACTTGATTTTTTACTATTTCTCACATTTACTTTTAATATATCCCACATTTAGCTTTGTATCAATTTTTCTTATATATATAAAAAATATGAACCTATTTGATTTTAGATTAAGTTCGAATAATTTCAGGACCGTAAACCACAAGTTACAATTTTCTATATTTACACTGGTTTTTGGCGAACTATTATCTAAACTAATATCTAAAATTGCAGAAATATATTTTACTGCATATCTACTACACTCACATATATTGTCATGCTAACCTAGTAGTTTTTGCCAGTTTTTTTTTTGTTACTCTTTGTTAAAGGATAGAAATAAATCTAGTTGAATATATGTATTGGTAAGACATAAATGTAACTTATCATATATAAATTAATAGTATTTTCTATTATTTCAGCAAATCAGAAACTGTTCTATATCAGCTATCCCAACATGAAAATGCTTCCCGAATGCGTCTAAAACTCGAACCATCACCTTTGCCGGTGGACAATCATGCTTCTGCAGCAAGTTTGAGAGACAACACCGGTATTACTGCTGTTAAACAACCAGAATTTTCTTTGCCAATCACACCAGCAGTTGTTAGAAGAAGAGACGGTGATGAAGATGAAGAAGGGCCTTTGCTTGAGGAGGAGGAGTTGGCCAGGTTGACGGCGGAGGCACAGTTAGTATAATAAATGATAATGTTTAAAAATTCTAAGAAAATCTTTAACTATCAACTCTTTTTGATACATTTTCATGGTTTTTATAAATATTTCACAAACGGGTTTTCGATCACTAATTATTAAAAAAAATAAGAAAATTTTGCGCGCTTGTCTAAATTGTAACTGGTGATAGACTTTTTCATAGGAATTGCAATTCGATATTTATTTTATCAAAAGTGATTAAAAACATTATAACACTCGTTTTTTAAACAAACAAAAATTTTCATAAAAACATTAGAACAATTGTGGGAGAGTTAATTAATGGTTTTACTTCTATTGAATCCATTATATATTTCTTCCTGATCTATGAAATATGTCATACGTATCCTTTGTCAAATATTCTTTATCCGCCTAGTATTCCCTAGGAGATATTCTGAATGAAATGTAACATATAGACAACTAATCCCTAGTGTGATTTGACTATTAGTCATCCCATACATTTATAATACCTTTGATATAAGGTTCAATAACATATGGTTTTCATTGCCCTTTTCCGGCATATAACCGGAAAATTCTTTAATGATTTATATCTTGAAAATAAACTAACACGCATTTTCAAAGCTGTTGTAAACTGAGAATATCACTTATATACATTAATCTATGAGGTCATATGAAAAAAAACGCAGTTTTTGATATGATTTATAATTAATATAATTTATTTAAAAGTATTTGTCAAGAATAATTTTTTGACATCATGAATTTTATTTATTATCCAGATTGGCGGCAGATCAATCAAAAGAAGAATCTTCAGGCGTAGGCAGCATTTCAGGCCCAGGCACACGTGAAGCAAAAAGTTGTCATTTCACAAGAATGCGAATTAATTACCTTAATGAGCAGAATTCGTGGAAAATTTGATGTGACCACTACCCATTTAGTTTTCCACGACTTAAGTCCTCTTCGGGATGATAGACCCAGGCAGGACCACAGATGGCCTTTGGCTTCTTTAAGAGAAATACATTTGCGGAAGTATAATTTGCGTAGAAGTGCCTTGGAAATCTTTCTGCTGGATCAAACGAACTACTTTTTCAATTTCTCTACTAAGGTAATAATGAATAGTATAAAAATAGAAAAACGAATTACTTATTATTTTTTTGCTACGGTAATAGTATAAAAATAGGTTGTTCAACATGTTCACAGACGTGAATGATAGATCAGTCTTTTACATAGTGATGCAGTAGGACATGAATGCTATAGCATTCAAATTTTAAAATCAATTATTTTGAATTTAATTTTTATATAACTTCACGTGTAATTATTATACCTGTCACGGTATGGAATAACTGGATATCTAGGTATTGACTAGCATGGGCGTAAAATGGAATCGTAATACTTGACGTGGATGCTATAGCATTTATAGTATATACCGATTAAAATTTGATAATATGGCTATCTTTTCTTACTTGAGTATAGTAATGGCCCGTAAATCGAAATTGAAAATTGTAGCATATCTTAACGTTTTAGAGGTTTCTGAACATTTTGGCATACCTTAGAAAAAATGGATGTTTATGTGTGGAGACAATATTTTTTCGACGATTTTTTGAATATCGAAAAATATGTCGCATTTTAATTCTAATTTTAGCTAAAGTTCTAAACATTACTTATAACACTTGAAATAATCATAATAATCTATTTGGAAACATTTAATATTCCTCGAATATTTCATTAAGGCGCGGGGAGTTCCAGCAATTTTTCTTAAGGCGATCCCATACACCTCTAGTTTGTATTTGTCTTTGTGATACAATGCAAATTAATAAAAAATCTTAAACTTATTATTCACATCTACTATGTATAATATAATACCTGTATATTGCAATTTATCTAAAAGTTTTTACACCTTTACGTTGTATAAAATATTCGATTTCGATAACGATTTTATGAATAAATAACACAAGTCCCATGTGTCACTTTCTTCCCTAGACTCGGAACAAGGTATTTTCCCGAATATTGAGCCTGCAACCCCCCAATATCCTTTATGGCAGCGGTCGATCGCCCTCTGAATTGCTGCGCGCTTCTGGTCTCACACAACGATGGCAGAGGCGAGAAATTTCCAATTTCGATTACCTAATGCACTTGAACACGATAGCTGGCAGAACATATAACGACTTATCTCAATACCCCGTTTTTCCATGGATACTTACGGATTACCACAGCGAGGAACTGGATTTGGAAAATCCTAACACTTTTAGGGATCTGTCGAAACCTATTGGTGTGGTTAATCCGAAAAACGAAGCGGAGGTAAGTTTTTAGAGATACAAGCAGGGCCGGTCCTGGGGTCCTTAGCGCCCGCATGCAACTTTCTTTCTAGCGCCCCCCCCCCCCTATTAATTTCCACTGTTTTTTATCATTAAAATTATATAAATATTTACATATTTTTTAAAAATTGATTTTTAATTATTCTGGATTTAGTACACAAAAAATTACATATAATCTAGAAGGGTATAAAAATATTGATTTTAAATTTATTTATTATTTTCGATATCAATAATTAAAACAATCCCTGTCATAATTTTACATTTTAGTAATATTCAATACGTAGTAAATTGGTTAAGGGTGTAAGTTCGACTACCATAGCAAAAGAATTAATATTTTTGTTAGATTAAAGTTATAGAATTTAAGAAATCCATTTCAGAAATAGTATTTCTTATTTTGATATAAAGATCTTGATATCAGAATAATAAATACTATTTCTGAAATGCATTTCTTAAACTCTATAACTTTAACAAAAATATTAAGTGAAATAAATAAATAAATTTTTAATTATTCTGGATTTAGTGCACAAAAAATTAAATATAATCTAAACGCGTATAAAATATATAGATTTTAAATTTATTTAGAAAATCGAGGCGATTCGGGGGTTGATTATAATCAAGTATTTTGAAATTTTCAATTATTTTTAACGTATGTGCATTATTAATATTAAAAAAAAACTAGCATTTAATTTTCAAACATAACACTGGTATTTCATGTTGGATTTTTTAAATTTTAATTTAATTTAATTTTTCATCATTTACAATATCCAAAATTGCGTCGTAAACTTCTCCTTATTGATATCGCATGAGCCGTCATATTCAGAGTATCAGCTTGTTGTTTTAAAGTTAAATTTGTAACGTATTTTAGAAGTATTGTTCAAAAATCAGTAAAAAATGCAAAGGATTTACACATTTCTTGAACAACATTGAAAAAAAAAACTTATTATATTTGATATGTATTATTTCTGTATAGTTAAGAATGATTAAATTTAGAGTATGGATTTAGAGTATGGACACCACTAGGTATAAAACAAGCCTTAAGATTTTCGTTCCAAAGTAAATTTTGCTTCCATTTTTCATATTTGTTCCACAAAAGTCTTCAACATTCAAAGTTCAACAGATGCGAAACATTTGCAACAAAAGCAAAAGTTACAATTCAATTTCTCGGAATAAACAAGTCATTTTCTAAGCACTGACCCCCCATTTTTTATAATTTGTTTATATTTTTAACGAGTTCCGATTGAACTAAATCAGCTCGCAATTTTTCGTCAATAATGCCCAACAATTAATTTAATCTTTTGCAGGTTTGCGCTTATGGGATTGAACACTAGATAATTTCTTTTTCGATTCCGCAGTAACTTCAAACAAAGAAAAATTTAATAAGTAGATTAAGCAATAAACAGAGTTATTGCTAATTTGTAGAATTATTAATCGGTTAATTGTTTCTACTGATATCACATTGCAAAATAAATATGCTTTTTGTATCTCCGCATCCCTAGTTAAGTTAAATTATTTATTATAATTTATTAAGTATTCTACATTTTAAATAAATAATTATAGATTTTATATAAAAAAATATAAATATTATATTATAAATTTAATTTTCGAAACTCGTATTGGCGCCCCCTAAGGCTTGCGCCCGCATTTTTTGCATGCATTGCATGCAAGGCAGGACCGGCCCTGGATACAAGTATGTATCTATTATGATACTGTACACTCTGTAATACAGAGTCTGTATTAAATTATGATTTACTGAATTCTGATACTTTGTTGAAGTTACTTGTGAATGGTAAATTATCATATTACATTTTATTTATTTATTTATTTATTTATACAGCTACACTGAAGTTGTCACTAATGTTGTCTGGCAATTTCATTGAAAATTTATACCAATTTATTTTAAATATTATAAATATATATAATTTCATACATTTATTTAATGTCACTGGCTAATATTTTGAAATTGGACGTAGAACTAAAACTAAAAAATAAATTCTATTTATTACTCAACTTTTAATATTTCATTTTTGATTTGAATTTAGTTCTGCGTTATCCTTGTTATTGATATTTCTTCCATTGTTTTGTTTCTTTTCTAGGTACGCGCCAAATATGATAGCTTTGAGGATCCAACCGGAACAATCAGCAAATTTCATTATGGAACTCATTATTCAAATTCCGCGGGAGTTTTGCATTATCTAATTCGCGTAGAACCATTTACATCTCTTCATATTGAACTTCAAAGTGGAAGATTTGATGTCGCCGATCGGCAATTTCACTCGATACCGCAAACGTGGAAACTCCTTATGGACAATCCGAACGATGTCAAAGAACTGACACCAGAATTTTATTACTTTCCTGAATTTTTGAGGAATGTTAATAATTTGGATCTGGGTAGATTACAAGTAACTAAGGAAAAAGTCGGGGATGTTGTTTTACCGCCTTGGGCCAGAGATGCTGAAGATTTTATAACCCTTCATAGGTACAATTAATACATTACATAAATCAATATATATTACTTAGCACTTTGAAGATATTTTTCTTCTGTTTTTCCAGGCGAGCTCTTGAAAGCGAACACGTGTCAAATCATCTCCATGAATGGATAGACCTGATTTTCGGCTGCAAACAGAAAGGAGCTAAGGCTGCTAAAGCCTTAAATGTTTTCTATTACTGCAGTTACGAAGGCGCAGTAGATTTGGATGCTATTAAAAACCCCAAAGAACGAGAAGCCGTCGAGGGGATGATTAATAATTTTGGACAGACGCCAAGTCAACTCATGCGGGAATCGCATCCCAAGAGGATGTCGAAAGATGAGGCTGCAAAAAGGTAATTACTATTAGCTAATAAAAATCGTATATTTTCTTACAGTTTTGTGCCTATCTGGTGATTATACGTTACACTATATTTGATTTAATAGATTGATTAGAGGAGAACTAAGAAGGCCCGACATGACAACATTCTTGAATTTGGCAACTCTTTTCACTTGCTCGGATGCAGCAAGTGAAAAAGATCCCATGATTTACTTGAGTTCACCGCGATCGCCTCCAAGATCTTTTCTACAAGCTGGACCAGATTGTGTAGTCAGTGTTTCGAAATTGGGAGTATTGGCCGCTCATAATTGGCAGTCAGCTGACAGGTAATAGAGGAAAATGCACAAAACTATTATCATAATTTACAAAATTTTGGCTGTACCGAAAAAAAATATGCCCTTCCATAATTTAACTGGGATGTTTGATTTTCTTAATAGGAGCAATCCGCGAGGTTTCATGTTTGAACCAGATGCGAGCATAAACCTACCTAAAGCCAGGAAACGTTTACCAGGACCATTCCATCCAGCCTACGTTCCAGATTCTCGCACTTTCTGTGCTAGTCTGGACGGACGAGTCATATATTGTGGAGGCCTATGGGACGGTTCCATCCGAGCCTATTCTGTGGCACGTGGAAGATTATTACAAACATCTATCAGGCACATGGATGTCGTCACATGTTTGGCAATTGATTCTAGGTAAAAATAATAATATAATTTATTTCATTGGTCAAATAATTTAATATCATTTTGTAACTTCGTTACAGAAGAGGAGGAATTTTGTTAAGCGGTTCAAAAGATTGCACATGTGTTGTATGGGAGGTGACACCATGGGCGGGAGGCGCTTCTAGTAAGTTTGACATTTTAATCAGGTTAATAGCATATCAATTCATAATATTGTTTTTATCCAGATGGAACATTACTGACACCTGTCAGAGTGCTACGTGGTCATGATGCACCAGTGACCTGCGTTGCTTTACATGGAGAACTGGACGTTGCCATCAGCGGTTCAGAGGATGGAACCGTCAATGTGCATGCCTTGCGATCTGGACGGTATGTCAGAACTCTCAGACCCAAAGGATGTGAGATTCCACGAAGTCCTGATTCACATAGAAGCTTTTTACCTCAGGTAAAACTTAAAAATCTTTACTGTTTAATCTGAATTTCTTCTTGGAATCGGTGTTGATCAACACTTGTACAATCTTCGTAGGTTTTGGAAAGGTCGATAATTATCGAGTATACGGAAATGTCAGCCCAAGGTCACGCTGTATTTTCTGCCCGGGACCGTTGCGGATGTTCTTTGCATGTGTTCACAGTGAATGGTACCTGGGTTGGTTCTAAACGAGTTTCCGGTCGTGTGACCGGGTTGGCAACCGCTGGCGATAATGTCGTTTGTGTTGACGACGCCGGAGACTTGACAATGAGCCGATTACAAGGGTGAGCGATTATTATGTATATATACAATTATGTTTGATGTTTTGTGAATGACTAGAATACAGACCGTGAAATATGAAAGATTTACTCTATCTATCCACCGAATTGCATGTCATTAATTTTTTTTTATAAAATCGTTTATTTCTAATTAACATAATTCAAGCATTTTTCAAATTTTAACCAGCTGAATTTTTAAAATTTATACAAAATATAAGAAATAATTGTGTATATTGGCCTCAAAACCAGACTAGGGAATCGGGCAATAATTCATTTTTATGTAGTTTCAATACTCGATATTCGATCAACAATAAACGCAATTTTTATTTGAAATATTTCTAATTATTATAAACACTTTTTGATGTTTGAAAATTGGATATTTTTTTTTCTACAAAATGTATAGTTTTTTTTTTCTTTTTTGTGGCTAATTATTTAGAAACTATTTCAGCAATAATCAACAAATTATTGGGTTCATTTTTTTAATCTGTGTTGAGTCTTTCTGTGCTTCTATGTAATTTTATTTGATTTATATATGATAAATGAACTATCTAAAGAGACCCCTTTGAATTGATTGAACAAACAATTGATTTTGGTCTGGCAAATAGAGGACTACCATTAGGTATATTCCTTTCGTACCGTGTTAGTTTTTTCAAGAATCAACGCAATGTTTATATAGGATTATTGATATTATCCACTTCAATAATTTTGTCTTACAAGGAGAACTTCAGGTTTACTTCAAATTTCGTGCGTGATAGATTGTGCTTGTGTATTATATTTTTGATACCAAAAATAATATGCTCCATATATTTAATTGTTTGCATTATATTTTACATATACATATGACTCGCTTATTTCATTTTATTTATTGATAAAAAATCTTAAGAAAATTTAACCCTTTTGATTCGGATGCAGCCGCTCCGGCGGCATGGTCTTTTTACCGTTGCGCTCGGATGCCGCCACTCCGGCGGCATGATACGTTTTACCGTTCCACTCGGATGCCGCCGCTTCGGCGGCAAATCGTGTCGTCGCAAACTAAACTTACAACATGTGATTTTTTTCATACTTATGAAGTTAATTCACTATTAAGTTCATTTACCGATTAATTTATAATTATTTTCATAAATATGTATGAACAAATTAATTTAATTGCTCATAAACACCATTATTTTTTAGATATAATTGTTACCAAAAATTTCATGTTATATATTATTTACATATATATATATATATATATATATATATATATATATATATACAATGTAATGTATTATACACATGCATAATATACATACATATACAAACACACACGTATATATATACGTGTAATAGAAAAAATAATGGTATTATTGGGGTTGTTCTTAATACGGGCACGATAACCGCATCTACCTCCAAGAATATTGTTTTTTAATTATTTTTTTATTTAGTTTATATTCAGTATATATTTGATATAATTTTTATTAATTAATTTTTATAAACATCTGTGTAAAAACAATTTTTTTAAACAATTACATGGTTTGTATCATATTTTTTAATTTTATTTCGAATTTTTTGTTTTATTATCATACTAACGATATTTAAAAGCAATATTACCACATTATAAAAAAATCCGATACAAAAAAAAAATCCGAGTTGAGAGATATGTATAGCACTATAATATACAGAGCGCAGCGCACCGTCGAGCAGTTGGACTCCCGAGTGGAAAGTGTTAAATCAAATATCTACAATATCCACGCTATAAATATAAATCGAATTTATATAGTAAGAAATTGCACTAATTATTGTATACTTGTACAAGGATGCAATCAATGTACGAGGTCTGTTCAAAAAGTACCCGGAATTTTCGTTTTTTCAAAAAAATATTTATTTATTCGTCTACATTAATGTGGTTCCCTTCAAAGTAGTCCCCCCCAGATATAATACACTTATGCCAGCGTTTTTTCCAATTTTCGAAGCACCCTTGATATTCACTTTTTGATATGTCCTTGAGCACTCTCAGCGATTTTCTTCAATCGAGGAAAACCGCCGTCCTTTCATGGGTCTCTTCAACTTTGGGAATAGGAAAAAGTCACACGGAGCCATATCTGGTGAATTTTTGCACTTTGCAACACTTTATTTCATTTTTTACGCAAAATTTAATACAAATTCTTTGACTTTTCAATTCTTCCATTGTAAAAATCGCCGAGCTCAGAAAAACACGTCGAACCCTAGCGACTACCACACACAAGTAAACAGTGAATATAGCTGAAAATTTCATCATACTTTAGGGGCATGTATACCAACACAATAAAAAAAAAATTTTGACAATCAGACACTCCAGACCCGCGAAATTTAATTATTAGTAATTCCGGGTACTTTTTGAACACACCTCGTATATAAATGAAATAAAAATAAGACAATAAGTTTTCATGAATCGACTATCGAATTTATCAACAAACAGGGTGTCATAAGAGTATCCTGTTGTCTTTTTTTAGTAAAAATACAATTATTCTTTAAAATTTTTTTTTCAGATTAAAACCAGTCTTCGACATTCCCCTCCACGTGCCAATTCAGAGTGTTTGTGTGGCTCCTGGTAACACACACATCTTGTGCCCTCTAAGAGATGGAAGGTTGGCGGTTCTTGGTCCACCAGTTCCACAATCAAAAGGAAACTCATCAAAATCTATTCATCAGGTATAGAGAAGTCTATGAGCTAGGTGAATCTAATCAAAACTCTACCGTAAGTTTCTATTACCATTGAAATATATATTATGTTTTTATTTGATTCAATTTAAAATGTCCAAATCCTTTTCATATCTTGTCATGTACAACATTGAAGTATTATTGAACATTGCAAAAAACTATTTTGTTCAAAAGAAGAGCTTGTGAATTATGGGTAATTTCGCTCGCAAAACATTTTTAACACTCTATATATAATTTTTAATTTAAATTTATTTTAATATATTGAAACAATCAAATATAAAAATATCATAATATTAGGTCCAAGTAAGTGGTAGACGATATAGCCTTTAGAACTTTTTAAGCATATTTTTTGAAGGTAGGTGAGAAACTATATAATATTATACTATACGATATGTTGTTTTAACTCGAATATTAATTGGATTCATAATTTTTATATATTCTCCTAATTCGTTTTCTTGAATTATATTTTACAAAACAAAATAAAAATAAAGTCATCAAAAAAATCTATTTATTTGAGGTTTTTGAACATTTTAATGTATTATCATATTCTATTTGTTATTAAAGCTTAGACAATATCTGTAGAGCTTTATAATATTCTCTTACTTGGCATTTTCAAAAGCTCCTGATTTTAAAATTCATACTGATACGAATTAGAAATACTTAAGAATAAGACTTTGATCCATAAAAAAATCCATCAACTCCTGACAAGAGCCTAAAATATAATTTATTATTATTGAAATTGTCTTGCTTATGACTAAATAAATAAATAAATAAATAGATCAATGTTAAGGATATTTTAAAGCTAATTTTCCATACTTAAACTACACTTAAAATTTACAAATAGAATATAACGATTCCAGCACCATTTTTTTCAACAAGCTTTCAGATTTAATATTTTCTCCATGTAAGTTTCAACATTTTCAACAACGACGACTTTACAACAAACTTTAGACGAAGTTTTTATAAATATATTTTCTGTTATAATAATCCATTTGATGGCATTTAAATAAGAAATTTTTAGCCGCGTATTAGGAATTGGAATTTTGTGTAATCGAAAATAAGTTATCATAAATTATGACTATTGAACTTCTGAACTAAAATCCCTTTTCTCTACTAATTTTATTTATTTAAAAAATAATCAATTATTTTATATACCTAACATTTCGGCGATAGGAGATGTCTTCTTGTTCAGGAACCATTGCTATAATTATAAAATATAATTTAGCAAAATTTCTGTTTTGTTTTACAACACAGCATTTAAATAAACATGCTAATATTTAATAAAATACTAGATGTAGTCTATTGTAAAAATTGTAATAATGAACTCTGTATATTTACAGTATTAAAATCGATAAAAATAATCAATGTTGTAATAACGCTTGTATTTTAAATAAGGATGACTATATATATATATATATATATATATATATATATATATATATATATATATATATATATTAGGTTGGTCCTTAATGTGGACATTTTCGAATTTCCTTGCTCCCAAGGGCTCAAATGGTTCCAAATTGATAAAAAACTTAAACTTATAAATCTTAATAATGTCTTTTAAATAGAGCGCAATTTAATCAAAGATTTGTATGGAAATAGAATGAAAAAAATTTCAAAATTTTTGAAAGCTTCGAATTTTCAATAAAAAATATTTCGTATTTATTTCGAATTTCGTATTTCCATACGAAGTTTGATTGAATTGAGCGCTATCTAAAGGTTAATATTAAGAGCTAAAACTTTCAGAGAATTGTTTTTTATCAATTTAGAACCCTTTGAGCCCTTGGGAGCAAGGAAATTCGAAAATGTCCATATTAAGGACCACCCTAATATGTATATATCCACATACAATTATACATGCAAGGTGCTAGACATTTTTTCTTCAATAATATTAAATTTTACAAACTTCTTGATATCTACGTATGTTTCAATAAGCCTTAGCAATTCTTTAAATTTGATATATTTTAAAAAACATATATTTTTTATTTTATTTGTGATAATAATCAATAATTGGATATTCATTAAATTTATCACAATTTACTACATAGTTAATATGATCTTCGTGTGAAATATAGAGATTAAAATTTTGTTAATAATTATAATAATAATTATAAAAACATTTTTATTCTTAAGAACTAAGTTATTATAGATCGATTTTTAATCATATCCTACGCATATCAGCTTTTAATTTTTTAAATGCAAATTATATTTCATTTAATTATTACTTTTATGATGGCAAATGATTATCACGTGAAAAAATTGAAAAAATTTCTAAATATAATTAAATGTCGAAGAAAGAACCGGTTGAAAAATGTAAGTAATAAATACTTAACTTATTTATTATAATTTGAAACACTTTTTGGATTTTTAAATCAATTTATGATTCCATCGTTCTGGCTCACAACTCCATTAAAATTTATTACATCAAAATAGAATGTTTTTACATTGAAATAAAAACCGTTACAAAAAGTGTACTATGCACTGATAATAAGAAATTATATGTTTATAAAATATTATGATATCATCAAGTTTGTAAATTCAATAAACCTGAGTGACGTGTCGTTTTATAATTAATTTAACTTTCACTTACAAATATAATAATATAATAATTATGAATTTAAGAAATAAACTGAATTGTCAATCGCACTAATGAACTATACACTTTGTTCTCAACAGTTACAGCGGTTTCTATTCGTAAATGTTTTTTATATAAATTTAAATACCATTGATTGATGAAAAATTGTAAGTAATATTTTTTAAAAAAACATTGAAATAAAATGCGCGAGTTAATTTATTTTTTGATAATAAGGCACTTGTTACCGTTGACTAGTAATTGTAGATTGTTATGTGATAAAAATTTTAATTATATGTTCCATCAGATTTAAACTTTTATAAGTAATTGTATTTTACTTTGTTTTAACTTATATTATATTATATTTTATTTTTAAAATGATTTTGAAGTTTACAACTAGATAAAAATTGTATTATGTTAAGAATATTATGAGTAAGATAACTTTTGAAATGTTTTAGTAAAGTAATTTTAGTACAGGTATTATAAATAGGCTTTAGACGAATATTTATAGAATAATAGTGAATATTATTAAAAATCGATAATGTTATGAAAGATATTTAAATTATAGATTATCGTATTAGGCAAGTGAATCATCTTTCATTTTATTCTTGTATTTAGTGATAAATTATATTATGATATAATAAAGATAAGTCAATAACAGCATTTTATATAGTTTTGTAAAAAGTGACACTTTTTGAAATTTAAATTTGTTATTACACTAGTAAATATATAATAATTTTATGTAATTTAGCATGAACCATTCCATGTAAATCATTTACCATTAACAATATGTACTTATATTAATAAACGAATTTAGCTAACTTAATTATGATGGCTTATATATTAATTTTATTTTTTAATTAAATTATTGAAATTTTAAATAATTTCAAGCAAATGCAATGTTAGAAATGAATTGTATTCTGTGGACAATGCTTTAGCAAATTGGAAATAATTCTGAATCTTAGAACCTTATGAAGCATAGAAAAGTTTAGAACAGGTAGTTATTTGAATAGTTCACAATTATTTCTTCTGGATCTTTTATTAATTTTGTTATTTGTTTGTGACTTAGTTTTAGAAATCCTCGTCGACTTTTCACCAGTCCAGATGATGTTGATAAATACTTAGACTTCCAGTTGGTCATTGTTATGGTAATTCTAATGCATATTAAGGAACAAAAAAATTCATTTGACTTAACTGCAGGTAAGCAAAACTTACACCAAGTATAAAATTTTATACATAATTGTTAGCAATATTTTTTTTATCTTTTAGGCCGAGTTGTGGTGGTCATCACATATTTAGAGAAGACATTTCAAGAAAATTCGAAACACATTTGTGATTTATGAAGCTCTATTTTAAAATCTATGTGAGGTAAGTACCTACTGATAAATTTTATAATAATATTTTTATTCTATACTATAATATGGTATAAAATCTTGGTGAAGGCAACATTTATTAGCAATATGATTCAGCAATTGAGCCGAATCAATTAAAAAAATGTTGATATTTTGAAGGTGCTAGAAATGATGGTAGTTTCTAAAATTATTCGAAATCTTTCAAAGATTCTGTACTATTCAGAACTAAATGTTGCACCGTGGTTGCTAATCATCATCTGATAGGAATCATATTAATGAATTTTGGTTCATATAAAGCAACTATATATTTATACTGATATGGCATAATTTACTGGTTTATTTTTTACAATTGCTGCATATACTGATATACTAAAATCTATTCATTAATAATTTTAAAAGACAACCATTATATCATCTAATGGTTTTCGTTTCAGATCCGGCACAGTACAATTTTCATGAGGATGCCCCACTGGTGCCAAAACCAGAAGTTTTTCATTATCTGGTCGATTGAGAAGTCGACGCAGTTGTGGTCCACAGTTCAATGGAGTTGTGATCAAGGAGCACAAACCGGCACTCTGGTAATAATAAATAAGATGTTTTAATTTTAAATGATAATAATCATAATGTAATGATTTGAATGATGACAAAAGACAAACAAACAGTTGTCCTATTTCTGTCTTGGATTTGCATTATTACATATTCTATATTAGTGATGGATTTTTATTGAAGCAACAATGCAGGATAATGGCTATTTTTGTTCTCTTGGAAGCTTATTTATATCTATATTCCCAAGTCAAAACCAATGCCACTACTGCTTGATACCAGGTTGCTCGAAGAGCGTATCGACTGTGATTGCCATATTGCTTTTCTTATATACCATTTAATGGGAGCACTGCCCATTAGAGTTATAGTGAGCAATATTCAGTTACAATTTCTATTTTTTTTTTATTTTTCAATTATCATTTACCTGAATTGCAGCCAGCATAAACCCTGCAGCAATAGCAGCACTGGTTTCATGGTAATAATGTTCTTTACGTGCCCCATCTTGCCTTCTACTGTGCGTTTTTCGGAATAATAAAATCAACCAAGGTGCAACTGTCAGGTATTCCTTCTCCCAATTCGTTCGTAATGGTGATAGGTCAGCACACCATTGTCTGGACATCCTTTGCATATAATTTAATTCTTCTTCTCGTTCGATTATTTCTCGAATATCTTCCTTGATCTTCGAGGAGTTGATGGCTACGAATGTCCACGGTTCGGTATGGGCGCCACTTGGCGCAGTTCCTTTGGGGAAAAAGATTAAGAAATGTGAATCATTCCAATTTTTAAGGCTTAATGCAGTGTTTGACAATAATTTTAGGTTGTATATTTGTTTATCTCCGTATTTATAAAGAATAGTGACTATGTTTATGCTGGTTAAATTAACTTTATACTTTGTTCAGAAAAATCCCAATACATTTAAAAAAATCCAAAAATTGTACGATTGTTTCTATGTACTATAAATACAAGTGATGTTAGGTGGGGAGAAGTACTGATTTTAAATATCACCACGTATCACCAAGGAGGAGGAGAAGTCAAAAAATCCTTGATCACGTGAAACATTTTCAATTCAATTAAGTAAACCACAAACCTGCCGTACGTATGATATCTTTTATAACAGCAATGTCGACTGGTTTATCACTGTATTTTCTTACACTACGTCTGGCGTTCATTAATTTGTAGAATTCAGCTGAGCCCCCTTTTAAACCGGGTCCTACGCCCTTGAAGGGCACATGACGTAGATCTGCTGGTAAAGCAGGGGCTAATCCATCATCCTCCTTCTGCCACTGCTCACCCTCATCAGAAGAATAGATCTTCAGTTTTAGCTTAACACGAAAATTTAGATAATTTAATTAATTTAATTGTTAATTAAATAATAGATGTTTTATGATTCACTGTATATTTTGTGCCAAAACACTAGCGTTTAAAATCAAATTTAGGATGCAGATGCTTTCGCAGTTTTGTCTACTTTCTTCTTTTCTTTTAAATTTTAACCGTTATTGAAAATTTAAAGTATTATATTATGAGCTTACGAAAAATGGTTTTCTTATTGATATTTGTCAATGATTTTATTATTTAAGTCAATTGTTCACTCATCCGGGAGTTTTTACAAATTAAAAAAAATTGCGGTTACACATATTTTAATTCTACAGTTTTGTTACTTAATAGAAGATGAGGAGTGATATTATAAAAATCTGGAATTTTGATGTAAAGCAATAAGTTAATTAAGATATTAGTACATTTTCTGCCAATTCGTGAAATTTACTTCCTACTATTTGATCGGTTTTGTCCAAAAAACAAAACTGCCTAGACAGATTTATGTAATACGCATTCCTAAATTAACAAAACAATCAGGAATTACCATTACTTCATGCTGTATAAATATTTACTTACATTGCGTATTAGTCCTCAAAAGCAGTATTTTACTCTCAGACCATTGTTTTACATATTTCACAACTAAAATAGTTACCAACAAACTTATTGCTTCAAACCAGTAACGTTCAGTAAAAGAATTTCCACTAAATAAAGAGTTTAATGCCATGTTCTGACCTGTTAAAAAAATCATATTTAAAAAACATATGATAGTTTAAATATAATCAGTTTTTTATCATTTTTAATTTAGCCGATAAAAAATTATTAGACGAGAATTATTTGATTAGCAACTTATATAGAGTTGTTTTTAAACTTAAATAACTTTACTTCCAAATTAACACACACTTCACCTGTTTTGCACTATTTATTAAATAATCTAATAATAAGTATTACAAACGTTTCGAGAGTAGGTTTGCTTCATCATCGGTGTAATGATTTTAGTTTATAAATGATTTTTTTTTCAAATATGGGGTTAGAAAATTAGTGAGTTAATTTTGAATAAGAAAATAAATAAATATGAAAATTGAACAAAATAATAAAATATGAACACACTGCACTCTTTTTTGCACAACTTATTAAATCATCTAAATATTACAATCGTGTCGAGACTAGGTTTGTCTCACCATAATATCATCATCAGTGTAATTTGAAAATAATTTTTATTCAAAAATGGTTATGAATTTTGTGAGATACCCTTAAACAAGACAATGCATAAGGAGCTTTAATATGATTTGGATTACATTTTTATTTTTAATATGCACTTCCAAATAAATTCGAATCTTTACTAACCTCAATAAATATAAATTTTGTCCACTTACCTGTAGGTTTTGAACAAATATTACTGTACTCGATATGATAAGCAATAAAACGATCGATACGGTATGAAACTTAACATCAAATTAATTTATAAAATGAGAGCGTATCATTAAAAAGGCAACTAGAAAGTGGGTCAGACAATATATCTCGCACAAATGCGTATTATTTTTTAACGTACACTTTGGAATGATTATCGAAGTATTTGTGACAGTTCTGGAATATGAATTAATATAATAGAAAATGGATTAAAATCGAGTACTAAGCGTAAGTGGTATTTTGCATTAAAACAAGATACAAAATCGTCCTGATATTTGCAAATAATTGGCTCAACCAATAATTGCGATTTGGCAACTTTAATATTGGAGTTTTGACACAATGTTTCAAACTTTAATGAATTTTTTAACTATTTGACATGTGCCCATAATATTTAAGAATGATTGTTAAGGCTAAGAACTCCATCATCCTATCAAAATAAAAAATTACAAGATTTAAGTACAAAGAAACGACCCAGCTTTAACAAAAACTAATCAGTCCGATTCCCCAATAACATTTTTTGAACGATTTGGTAATTTTGCACTTTTTTTGCTAATTATAAAGAAATGTTTGGACGATCGTCGCGAAAAAATAATCAACGCGAGTCTTTGTCGGATTGCATCGAATGGCTTTTAAAATTTTTAAATCGGTTTGGTTTTGAAAAAACGTCCGATCACATACATACATATACATTCTCTTACCAATTTTGGTCTCAAACGATTTAAAATGACTTGCAACGACAAGAAAACATAAAACTTGCAATTCGGATTTTTGGGAAGTTAATGTTTGCAGATATATTCATTTCTTACTAAAAATTTGTTTGCAGTTGAAATAGATATGAACAACTATGGACAACTTTTTATGAATCAATTTTTAAATCAACAATAACTTTATGGCCCTGGACAGATTTTGGCTCTTGGCCTCATGGCAAATTGCTGGAACTTTCCGTTTTTTATAATCAACAAAAAATGATCAACTAGCAACTGTATTAAATATTTTTAAATATTTTGAATATTGTATTGGTACTATAAGTTTTATTATTTGCATTATATAAACAAAATATAAGAGCTTGTAAATTAGGGACGAACGGTATAGTATTTCTAAATATGATAATTCTTGGTACGGAACCCAAAGAAATTGAAACAAAATTTGTACTTATTAATAACATCCCGTAGGGTAAGTTATAGTAATCGCAAAAAATCGAAAATGAAAATATTTATATACCTTTACGTTTCAAGGGTTTCTGAATATTTTGGCATACCTTAGAAAAAATGGATGCATGTGTGCGTGTGTATGTGTATGTGTGTGTGTGTGTGTGTGTGCGGATACAAATTTTTGTCGACGATTTCGGGAACACCGATCAACAGATTTGAATAATTCAAAAAAGTCTTTCTTTTCAAAAATTTAAAATTTCTCAAAAATCAATTTTTTTCAAAGTTAAGAAAAAATATTTAAAAAACAAAATGGTGCGGAAAGTTCTAGCAATTTGCCATAAGGTACGATGCCATACACCTCACTAATTGAAATTTCTATTAAATATCTGATAATTTATTTTTTGTTGTTATGGTATTATGCCCAATGAACATTTTTCGGTTAGTTTTTAGAGCTTCTTATTCTCCATACCTGAAAACGCTGGACCATCCTCACCAAAAATGGCCGTCAATAAAAGAAAAACGCTTTCAGAAT